TTGAGAGTCCCTTGGACTGCAAGGAGATCCAACCAGTCCATCCTAAAGGAGATCAGTCCTGGGTGTTCATTGGAAGGACTGATGCTGTAGCTGAAACTCCAATACTTTGGCCACCTGATGTGAAGAGCTGACTCATTTGAAAAGACCCTGATGCTGGGAAAGATTGAGGTTAGGAGGAGAAGGGGACAACAGAGGATGAGATGGTTGGATGGCATCACCGACTCAAGGGACATGGGTTTGGGTGAACTCTGGGAGTTGGTGGACAGGGAGGCCTGGCGTTCTGTGGTTCATGGGGTCACAAAGAGTCAGACACGACTGAGCAACTGAACTGAACTGAACTGAGTATTAATAAATTAATATGTGTTAAGGTACTCTATTCTTCCATTTCTAGTATAACCATAAGGAATTTCTACTGATCAAGCTACACTGTCTTCATCTCTTTTGGTATTGTAAATGGGTGCTGATTAGCCAGGTTTGGATGCAGAAAGAATACTCAAGCCCTACTCTTAACTCTGAGCCTCTGCTTCCTCTTTCTCTGGTGTCCTCTGCCTTGTCCTATGTGCTGTGTGTGTTTAGTCGCTCAGTCGTGTCTGACTCTTTGCAACCCCATGGGCTGTAGCCCACCAGGCTCCTCTGTCCATGGGGATGCTCCAGGCAAGAGTACTAGAGTGGGTTGCCATGCCCTCCTCCAAAATATCTTCCCAGCCCAAGGATCGAACCCGGGTCTCCCGCACTGTGGGTGGATTCTTTACTGTCTGAACCACCAGGGAAGCAGCCCTCCTTCTCCCATGCAGGCATCTGTGTCAGTGAAGAATCGCATTAAAAAGGTACATTTGATGTTAATCCTCAATTTGAGGACACTTATCAGTGTGAACTTCCAAATTTCCATACAAGAACAATCCTGAATCTTCCCTGAAGGCATCATGAACACTTTAAAATTCACTGTGTGAGGACAGATTACGCTTAACTCTTCCTTAGTGTATTTCCCAACCTGTCTTCCACTAATCTGGCTGCTTCTCCTTTGTTCATCTATTTTCACTTTTGTTGTGTGTGTGCATGTTTGCTAAGTCGCTTCGGTCATGGCCAGCTCTTTGCCACCCTATGGATTGTAGGCCACCAGTCTCCTCTGTCCATGGGATTCTCCAGGCAAGGATACTGCCGTGGGTTGCCGTGCCCTTCTCCAGGGGATCTTTCCGAGCCAGGGATCAAACCCATGCCTCCTGCAGCTCCTGCATTTCAGGTGGATTCTTTACCACTGAGCCACTAGAGAAGTCCTTTTGTTGTGTACTCACTGCCTCATTTGGGCTCCCCCAGTGGCCCAGCGGTGAAGAATCTGCCTGCAGTGCAGGAGCTGCAGGACACGCAGGTTCGATCCCTGGGCCGGGAAGATCCCCTGGAGGTGACTCACCCCACTATTCTTGCCTGGAGAATCCCCATAGACAAAGGAGCCTGGCAGGCTACAGCTCATGGGGTCACAAAGAGTTGGACATGACTGAAGCGACTTAGCTCGCACGCAGCTACCTTATTTATAACGGTGATATTTGACCATGAGGGAAATCTTATCCATATACACACAGAAACACACAGAGTACTGATCCATTTGTGTTTCACGTGTTATTTTTATTCAGTATGACTTTTTAATTAAAACACAATTAAAATCTGGTCAGTTAACAAAATTTAATAAATTCAAAAGTCAATTTTATCTTAATTTTTAGAATTTATTGTGATGTACCTACTAGATTTAAGAATTCTCATTCAATTAAATACAGTAATAGAGGTTTAGGCTGATGGAAAAGAAAAATTAAAACTTTGGTTTGAGAAGCAATGGGTGAAATTTAGGTGTATTGATTCCATAGTCAATTGTAATAAAATATCATGAAAATATCTTATTCTGCTGGAATTTTCCTCAATATGTTAAGACTTTTTCTCATTTATTCAGTATAAATGACAAACCATGGCCTCCAGGCCAAATGCAACTGCCTGCTTTTGTAAATAAAATTTTATTGGAGCACAGCCATCCCTGTGCATTGTACATAGCAATGATGTTGAATAGTTGTAACAGACTCTCTGATCCCACAACCTAAAATGTTTGCTGCCTAACCCTGAAGTGAAAGTTTGTTGACCCATGGTTTACAGGGCTCTGTGATGGTTTCTGCTGCTGCTAAGTCGCTTCAGTCGTGCCCGACTCTGTGCGACCCCATTAGGTGTATTGATTCCATAGTCAATTGTAATAAAATATCATGAAAATATCTTATTCTGCTGGAATTTTCCTCAATATGTTAAGACTTTTTCTCATTCATTCAGTATAAATGACAAACCATGGCCTCCAGGCCAAATGCAACTGCCTGCTTTTGTAAATGAAATTTTATTGGAGCACAGCCATCCCTGTGCATTGTACATAGCAATGATGTTGAATAGTTGTAACAGACTCTCTGATCCCACAACCTAAAATCTTTGCTGCCTAACCCTGAAGTGAAAGTTTGTTGACCCATGGTTTACAGGGCTCTGTGATGGTTTCTGCTGCTGCTAAGTCGCTTCAGTCGTGTCCGACTCTGTGCGACCCCATGGACTGCAGCCCACCAGGCTCCTCCGTCCATGGTATTTTCCAGGCAAGAGTACTGGAGTGGGGTGCCATCGCCTTCTCCACTGTGATGGTTTATAAGCCTTCAATTTGAAATAAAAAAGCAATCATTAGGAAGAATTTCATAAAGGATTGATATCAAGGGAATAATTGAAAAACAAATGTTATTTTAAAAACTTGTTTTTCATCTTCATATTTTCCAAATGAAGTTGCCTTGTAACTTTAAAGCTACATAAGCTTTCTGTAAAATTCTATTGTTTTTGTTGTACCAGTCTAAAATACTTCTAGAATCAAGAGAGCAAAATTACCAATGGATTTGCAGTTTGTTAGCTGATCAGGCCTGACCTTAATTATAAATAATGTCTTACATATTCATTGTTCTCTACTGTTCACAAATTATATCCACATGCATATGTTTCACAGAACAACCTGTTTCCATTTTATGGAAAGTGTAAACAAGGCAGTCTGTGTGTATGGTGTTTGTGTGTGGAGGCTGGTACATGTGTGTGCCATGTGATGCTGTGATTAGTAACCAAGAGTCACACAATAAGTGGGGAAAATAAAAGCCAGATCTTATATTTGTATATACTCAGTATTTCATCTTTTACATTACTCTTCCTCTGCTTTTTCACAGTATAAATAGCATTGGAACTAAATCAAAAGCTTCTTGGAGTTGATTTAATAGTTGCTTACTAGTTGTTGAGACAGGGCTGCTTGTCAATTATTAAAATATTTGCTATAGATGCAAAGAAAATATAGAATTTTTGTTAAAGCAAATATAGTTAGAACAACCTCTAGATGGAGGTCATAGACCATATTGTGTATAGTTGCTTACTTGTTCCCATCAACCTAAGAGTTTACAAAGTAAAATTTTAAATTACATTTTTTTAAGATAAACAGTATCAAAAAGAACAACATATATACCACATACATGTAGTTATAGGTGAGATTGATTGCCAGAAATGATGATTCTTTTGGGAAAAGTGGTCAGGTGAACTTTGAATTTATGGTTTGTAAGAAGATAAATAATACTTTAGACTTTAAAGAAACAGACAAAAAAAATAAGACTCTGGTGACAGATTATTTATAAGAGAAAATGCACATATTTCATATTATGGTTTTCATAAGTCGTGTTTTTTCCTTTTTTTCCCCCTTCACTTAGAGTGACTTGTAAAGAATGTGCTGAAAGAACTCTGTAAAAGCTAGATCAGATGTGCATAAGCTTTTCTGATTTTTCAGAAAACAGAAGATTTATGCCACCACTGTAGATCAGTGAACATCGAATCTTTTCCTTTGACTCCAGCACAAATAGTTGGTTGGGTGTTCTGTGAATGATGAAGTTCAAGTAGATCCAACATAGATTTTTCTAAAAATGTGACATGATCTATTTTTTCTTTGCTAGTGGATAGAGTAGGGAAATTAAGCTAATTGTCTGCATTTAAGGAAAGCATGAAAACAAGTTCACCTGTAATCTTCTTGGAGACGATGTTAAAATACAGGCAAGATTCTGGGTTACCTGTGGTATGAGAATGGTTTGAGCCTCAATTATTCAACAGATTATCTGTTGACAATATCATTATTCTATCATTCCAGATCTGAATCTTAGACACTAGTGTGTTCAGTCATTTTTTTCAGTGGGTGAAGATATGGAAGGTATTCTTATAAAGGTTGCAATTGGCACAAAATTAGGAGAAACAGTGTGGATGATGGATGACAGGAGTAATTAAAAGACTTTCACATGGGAAAGAGATACTAAAAAATATGTGAATGGGGATAAATATGAAAGGAGGGATGGAGAGAAAAATGTCAAAATTTAAGGACATGAGGGAAAAACAGCTGGAAATTAGAAGGAAGCATGAGTGTAGTTAACAATAATGTATTAATATTGGTTCATTATAAAATTTTTCAGTATTGTATATCAATATTGCTACAATTGTGTTGGGCTTCCCAGGTGGCTTCGTGGTAAAGAATGTGCCTTCCAATGTAGGAGATGCAGGTTCAATCCCTGGGTTGGGAAGATCCCCTGGAGAAGGAAATGGTAACCCAATTCAGTGTTCTTGCCTGGGAAATCCCATGGACAGAGAAGCCTGGTGGACTATAGTCCATGGGGTCATAAAAGAGTCAGGCACGACTAAGTGACTAAACAACAACAGTTATGATAAATGTATTATAGTAATTTATGATAGTATTTAAATATAGTAATTTAAGTAGTATCTCCTAATATAGGTAAGTTCTCAGCTCACCTTTAATAGGTTGCTTTTGTCATAACTCTTGCTTCTACTTTTAGGACATTATTGATTTTTCTAATGAAAATTAAGAGGTCAAAAAAATTATAACTGAAAAGTGGCCATTTTATTGGTTGTGCATAAGTTGTTGTGAATTGTGTGATCTTCTGTGTCCAGGAATGGTCTGACTATTCCAAATTAAGAAAATTGTTCTCTTCACCTTCTTATTTTAAAGTTCACGTGTTTATCCACAGAAGCAATCAAGATAAATAACACCCTACCGAAATAATCAAGATAAATAACACCCAAAATTGCATTTCCATTTCAGTTATGAAAATGCAAGTGAAAATTAGGACCTACTTTTGAAATACTGATATTTAAGTAAATGAATATTTTGCCTCAGACAGAAAAACTCTAAATACTTTTGTACAGAAATAGTCTGAATGTAAAAAGTAACATATGCCCAATTTTTAGAGGCAGCAGTTTGCTGAACAAATATTGTATCCAGTTTATAGTCAAGTAATTATTGATGTAAATTTTATATTCCTAATGGAAAAAAAGGAAAGAATTCATGAGATGCAATATTATAGTAATGTGTGTTTCTGAGGAAGGATTGAAGGGCATGGGAAATTTTTGAAAAAACATAGTCTAAAATTATCTTTGATTTTAGTATTTTTAAAAAATTTTATATTAGTTTTTGTTTTTAGTGATGATACTTATTTTAATTTTCAAATGACATTAACGAGAACTGTGAACTTTTTATTTTTATGAAAAAGAAACAGGAATCTATTGACAGAGTATATTTTTCAGTTTAATACTTTTAATCTTATTAGTCTTTCCTGAGAGTCTCTTTGTGACTTTGATGTTGATGATTGTGATAGCAGCAGCTCATCTTTCATGAAACTCACTCATGCCAGGCACTATTCTAAGCAATTACATTTTAGATATTTTACCCTCACACCACATATACAAGATAGAGGGTGTTAGCATCCCCAGTTATAGATGAGGAAACTGGCCTCATATTTATGTCAAATATTTATCATTTTTAGAGTCCTTGCATCTATATGAATACTTTTGTTAAATATTAATGAATAGTTTAGATATATTTTTTAAATGTTAAATTTCATGATATTTCATTAAAAGTTTACACAGTATCCACTGTTTTTATCCTTTTCAGGTATGCAGTTTTGTGTGGCTATGTATCTGAGTTTGAGGGCTTACAAAACAAAATTAACTATGGATATCGCTTCAAGGTATTTCTTGATATTAAAAATGTTTTAATGTAGCTTGTTAATGTTCCATTAACAAGTATAAATCAAATTATTCAACAAATTTATCTCTAGGAATTCATCTTTTTTACTTAAATGAAATGTCAGTCTTTAAAAGTACTGTGCCAAAAAGAATCAAGCTCTTTGGTTGATTAAAAATCATTATTATTATTATAGAACCTGAAAGAAGTCACAAAGTAGATGAGTATTGTTTTTCTATAGGCAGAGTCTTAGCCTTTTGGTCGTGAGCTCACCTACATCATAAACATGGCTGGAATTAATTTGTTAACATTTTCTACAAATTAATTTGTTAGGAGGAGTAGAATTCAATATAGGACTTAAATTTGCCATGATAAATGAGTAAAATAAGTAATGAGCATACTCATTATTTATAATGTGCCTGTAGATATAGTTACAGTGGTTACAGGACTGGAAAAGATCAATTTTCATTCCAATCCAAGAAGTGCAATCCTAGAGAATGTTCAAGCTACCATACAATTGCATTCATTTCACATGCTTAGGCTTCAGCAATACGTGAACCAAGAACTTCCAGATTGTACAAGCTGGGTTTCAAAGAGGCAGAGGAACCAGAGACCAAATTGCCAACGTTTGTTACATCATGGAGAAAGCAAGGGAGATCCAGAAAAGCATTTACTTTTGCCTCATTGACTATGCTAAAGCCTTTGAATGTGTGGTTCAGCAACTGGAAAATTTTCAAAGACATGGGAGTACCAGACCACCTTACCTGTCTCCTGAGAAACTGTTTGTGGGTCAAGAAGCAACAGTTAGAATTGGACGTGGAACAACTGACTGGTTCAAAATTGGAAAGGAGTACATCAAGACTGTGTATTGTCACCCTGCTTATTTAACTTCTTTGTAAAGTACATCATGTGAAATATTGGACTGGATGAATCACAAGTTGGAATCAAGATTTCTGGGAGAAATATACACAAGCTCAGATATGATACTACTCTAATGAAAGTGAAGAGGATCTAAAGAGCCTCTTGATAAAGGTGAAAGAGGAGAGTGAAAAAGCTGGCTTGAAACTCACCATTCAAAAACCTAAGATCATGGCATCTGATTTCATCACTTCATGGCAAATAGATGGGGAAAAAATGGAAACAGTGACAGATTTTATTTTCTTGGGCTCTAAAATCACTGCAGATGGTGGCTGCAGCCATGAAATGAAAAGATGCTTCTTGGAAGAAAAGCTAAGACAAACCTAGACAGCATATTAAAAAGCAGACAGCACGCTGCCAGCAAAGGTCTGTATAGGCAAAGCTATGGTTTTTCCAGTAGTCATGTGTGGTTGTGAGAGTTGGATCATAAAGAAGGCTGAGTGCTGAAGAATTGATAAGTTTGAATTGTGGTGTTGGAAAAGACTCTTGAGAGTCTCTTGGACTGCAAGGAGATCCAACCAGTCAATCCTAAATGAGATTAAACATGAATATTCACTGGAAGGGCTGATGCTGGAGCTGAAGCTCCAATACTTTGGCTTCCTGATGCGAAGACTTGACTCATTGGAAAAGCCCCTGATGCTGGGTAAGATTGAAGGAAAAGGAGAAGGGCAGCCCAGGATGAGATGGTTAGATAGCATCACTAACTCAATGGACATGAATTTGAGCAAACTCCAGGAGACAGTGTAGGACAGAGGAGCCCGGCATGCTACAGTCCATGGGGCCACAAAGCATAGATAGGACTTAGCAACTGAACAGCAACAACGAATAGTTACATTCACTCAGTAAGTAACCCCTCCGGGTCAATAATTGTAAGTTTGGGCAAAGAGTTCTTCCTTTTNCTGAACTGAACTGAACTGAACTGAACTGAAGTATTAGGTAGGCAAGTCATGGGCAGACAAAAATGCAACTTGGCTGTTTTCTCTTTTTAAAGTGACATCCTCTGTAGCCTTATTAAATCATAATCGCACTTGTAGTTGTGAGCATTTTGATGATTGAATTATTGATATGCTTAATTGTATTAATGATAAAGAAGGGGAGGAAACAGCATCATAAAGTCCCTTTGAAATTGCTAGGTAGAGTGTCATTCAACACTGCCTGAAACTTGGGAGATGACTTTTTTTTTTAAATTTTCTTTCAGGAACATCTAGATAAAGCAATTGAATTTTTACCTGAAGAACCCTTTTTGTACTACCTCAAGGGAAGATACTGTTACGCTGTAAGTTGATTGCTTCTATCTATAAACCTTATGTGAATATACTGTGATTATATGATAGATTTTCAGTGGCTTCCTCTTGTTCTACCTAGTGCCTGCTATAGAGAAAATTGTGAAATCAATGCATATTTTATGAGTTGATAAATTGAACGTATTATATAAATATATGTTACATTACATACAACATGCTCAGTCACTCTAGTTGTGTCTGACTCTGCGACACCATGCGCTGTAGTTCATCAGACTCCTTTGTCCATGGGATTCTCCAGGCAAGAATACTGGAGCGGATTGCCATGCCCTCCTCCAGGATATCTTCCTGACTCAGGAACTGAACCCACATCTCCTGAATCACCTGCGTTGCTGGTGGATTCTTTACTGCTGAGCCAGTAAAAAAGGCCACATACACTATTTGATTTTATAAATGTATATGTCTTTTTTCTTTACTGCTTTCCCTTTTCCCTAGAAGTAGTCACAATGTTTCCCTTTATATGTGCTTTCTCAGATGGTGATCAGCCACCTACACCCGTGTACCCTATATTGATGCATGGCTCTCTCTTTTGTGAGAGGATTTTTTCACTTATCCGAGTTTACTGAGCATATAGTATGTTCTCACTGGCCAGAAGGTAAATAAAAAACCATCCTTATCTTCAAGGAACTTAATTTACATGGGAACCTAAGATGTATAGAAGTAAATAAAAGCTTCTGGTAAGTCTGAGACCCAGTGTGTTAAATGACACTCATTTACAGAAAGTTAACACAATGTGAAAGTGTATCTTAACAGCTGCATGAAAAATTGCCCCAAAGAGAAATGCTATTTCTGAATGAGAAAATTGGGGTAGGCAGAAGATGAAGCTTTTTAATTGTGACTTATAGAGGATTAGAGATAAAGCAGGAGGTTTTACTTTTAATGAGCACCTGCTGTGTATGTCACGTGTGCATTTTATACTTTATATTTCTTATCACATTTCATCCTTTTAAGAGTAAGCAGTTTCTATTGTGCCAGTTTTCAATATTTTTTTTGAATAGTGTCATGACAGTAAGGGACTCCCCTGATTTAAAAATCATTGACGCAGACTCATAGGAGCCTGGAGCTAGAATGTACACTATTGGATTAGGCTTAAAAGAAAACCCCAAAAACTCAAGAAGGAAAACTTAATTCCAAATGGAACCTGATCTTCATGCCACAGACAAATGGCAGAAGCTAATGCTAATCCTCCCTGGAGGATTGTACCTTCACACACAAGCCTTAGAACATTCCTACAGAGTTGAGCTCATATCATAGTCAAAAATAACAGAATACATATGGGGAAACAAGCCATCATAAACGGCAGTCAACAGAACAAATGAACAGAAAGAATAGAGGTACATCTGAAAGGACTTCAGATTTTGGAAACATGGAATACAGAGTATTAAACAGAGTATTCAACAGCTATCTATGTATTGTGTTCCTAAAAATAAAATGGATTAGGGGAAAATGGATAAAGAGCATGAGACTACAAAAATGATCAGGTAGATATGAAAAAGATGGAACAATTTTTGATATATCTATGTACATCAAAAATACTAGAGTGAGTAGCTGTTCCCTTCTCCAGGGGATCTTCCCAACCAAGGGATCAGACCCAAGTCTCCTGCATTGCAGGTGGATTCCTTACCAGCTGGGCCACCAGGGAAGCCCAGGAATACTGGAGTGGGTAACCTATCCCTTCTCCAGGGGATCTTCCTGACCCAGGAATCAAACTGGGGTCTCCTGCATTGCAGGCGGATTCTTTACCAGCTGAGCTACCAGGGAAGCCCCGTATAATGTGTTCCTAAAAATAAAATGAATCAGGGGAAAATGGATAAAGAACATGAGACTACAAAAATGATCAGGTAGATATGAAAAAAAGAAACAATTTTTATGTATATTTTTGTATATAACATTTTTATATACACTTATATATATAGCTCTTTATATACATTACCTTATGTAAAGTAGATAGCTAGTGGGAAATTGCCATATAACAGGGGCAGCTCGACCCAGTGCTCTGTGACAGCCAGAGGGGTGGGATGGGGGTGGGGGAGTGGGAAGGGGGTTCAGGAGGGAGTGGATATGTGTATACACATGGCTGATTGACACTATTGTATGGCAAAATCCAGTACAACATTGTAAAGCAATTATCCTCCAATTAAAAATAAATTTTAAAAAGAAGTATATTATTTGTGATTAAAAGAAAATTCAGTGGAAGGATTTAGTAGTAGATAGGCACTGCTAAAGAAATTATCTTTTGATAATTAATAGAACAAGAGACAAAAAAGTACCAGTAAGTATCTAAAACATTGATTGGAGACTTACATATAATAATTTTCATCTAATAAACATAGCTGAAACCATGTATCTAGCCAAAGAGGACATACATTTTTCAAGCATATGCAAAATGTTTACAAAATTGACCATACATGAGATCATGAAGCAAGTCAGAATTGATATCATACAGGTTTTGANGATTGGCTAGTTTTCTGTGATCATGGTGTCAGTGTGCCTGTCCTCTGATGCACTCTCGCAACACCTACCATCTTACTTGGGTTTCTCTTACCTTGGACGTGGGGTGTCTTTTCAAAGCTGCTCCAGCAAAGCACAGCCGCTGCTCCTTACCTTGGACGAGGCATATCTTCTCAGGGCTGACCCTCCTGACTTCATGGCAAATAAATGGGGAAACAGTGGCTGACTTTATATTTCTGGGCTCCAAAATCACTGCAGATGGTGACTGCAGCCATGAAATTAAAAGACGCTTAATCCTTGGAAGGAAAGTTATGACCAACCTAGATAGCATATTAAAAAGCAGAGACATTACTTTGCCAACAAAGGTCCATCTTGTCAGGCTATGGTTTTTCCAGTAGTCATGTATGGGTGTGAGAGTTGGACTATAAATAAAGCTGAGTGTAGAAGAATTGATGCTTTTGAACTGTGGTGTTGGAGAAGACTCTTGAGAGTCCTTTAGACTGCAAGGAGATCCAACCAGTCCACCCTAAAGGAGATCAGTCCTGAGTGTTCTTTAGAAGGACTGATGTTGAAGCTGAAATTCCAATACTTTGGCCACCTAATGCAAAGAGCTGACTTATTTGAAAAGACCCTGATGCTGGGAAAGACTGGGAAGGCAGGAGGAGAAGGAGAGGACTGAGGATGAGATGGTTGGATGGCATCACTGACTCAATGGACATGAGTTTGAGTAAACTCTGGGAGTTGGTGATGTACAGGGAGGCCTGGCATGCTGCAGCCTACGGGGTTGCAAAGAGTTGGACACGACTGAGTGACTGAATTGAACTGAATTGAATGACTACCTCAGAGGCCTGGCATGCTGCAGTCCATAGGGTTGCAAAGAGCCAGACACGACTGGGCAACTGAACAATAACAAAACAATGGCTGCCTAGAACCCTTGAAGATGGCATTGCGAAGGAAGGCACTTGATGGGGTTGTGGAGAGCATAGCTCCTCTTTTAAGTACTCATTCCTGAATCCCTTTAATCTTTTATATTATATATTTACTATTCATATTTGTTAAAAGTGAAAAAATTTAAAAAGAAAGCAAAAAACAAATGACAGTATGAGATTTAATTTTGGTGGTTGTTGCTTTTTAAAAATATTCCCCTGAATTGTAAATACATACACCAGGCCCTCACGGCACACTCCTTCTGGATTGAGGAACCTTGGCCTGTTTACATTTCTGACCTGCTGCGTTCCGGTCTGGTTGGGAGCACGGCAAAGGTGGAGTCCTGCAGCTACTGTATTCTGTACAAAGAAATACTATTCGTCATCACACAATCAAGAATCACGTGAACGAACAGGATCAGCATTGTTCCCCACTCCCACCCCTCTGCCTTCGTTTAGACACGAGGCTGCTTAAGAGTATTTCAAATTGGTTTGGTGACCAGTGCTTTTAGCTCATGGTTAGAATTATGAAAAAGGAAGGCAAGATGCTAATACCATAAAGGCTATATCTCTCGTGTATATAGCATGGATCTATATCTATATATATTATATTGTATGCATTTTGGACTCTTTCGTTGACTATGAGGGCTACTCCATTTCTTCTAAGGGGTTCTTGCCCACAGTAGCAGATGTAATGGTCATCTGAATTAAATTTGCCATTCCAGTCCATTTTTAGTTCACTGATTCCTAAAATGCTGATGTTCACTCTTAACCATCTGCTGCTTGACCACTTCCAGTTTACCTTGATTCATGATCAGAATAGAACAGAATGATCTCTATTCATTTTCAAGGCAAACCATTCAATATCACAGTAATCCAAGTCTATGCCCTAACTAGTAATGCTGAAGAAGCTGAAGTTGAACGGTTTTTGAAGACCTATAAGACCTTCTAGAACACCCAAAAAAGATGTCCTTTCATTATAGGGGACAGTAATGCAAAAGTAGAGAGTCAAGAGATACCTGGAGTAACAGGCAAATTTGGCCTTGGAGTACAAAATGAAGCAGGGCAAAGGCCAATAGAGTTTTGCCAAGAGAACGCACTGGTCATAGCAAACACCTTCTTTCAACAACACAAGAGAAGACTCTACACATGGACATCACCAGATGGTCAACACCAAAATCAGATTGATTATATTCTTTGCAGCCAAAGATGGAGAAGCTCTATACAGTCAGCAAAAA